GCTGCCTGCCATAAAAAAGAAAACAACAAACGCGACACATCCGGTAACACACACATAATCGACGGCTCTGTACGGCATCATCATTCATTTTCACCGCACGGAACATCCACTAACAATGACCGGACCCCTTTGTACTTCTCGATGTCATAACCCTGACAATCTCCATTCTACTAGACGCCATTCACCCCATTGTATTATGCTTAATACGCATTTCACCCGAACCAAGTTCTCTTAAACCCGACGCCTTGCTTGCAGCTCCTACTCCCTACGTTTCGTTATGTTAGCTTAGATAACCTGAATCATCATTTAAGCGAAAGTACTTTCTCACATCGATGATAGCAGCACAGAAGACCGTGCTAAACCTTAGGAGAGGGATTTCTTAGCAGAGGGAATTGAAGCTGATCCTTCCTCAACAACTGGTTTGACTGGTGTTTTCTCCTTTCTTTCTTTATTCAGAACTCGTCCCTCGTGATCTTGCTTACCCTTTTCCGTTCCTCCGGCCACCAACTTTCTGCTTATGTACAGAAAAACCAATTAAGCGTTTTAAGTTGTTGCGTTTTTCTCATTTTCCTGTGTGACCTGTAGGCCTCATCTTGATTAATAACATCGCGGCGCCTTGGTAAGACTAAACTGATTTTTTAGGTTATTGCAAAATAATTATATACGATTTCAGGTATTTCTTGTCGCATTCAAGTTTCGAGGTCCCGAATGATAATGCAACAGATGTGCCTCAGTAAACTATATATTTCTTTGTAGAATTTAGCAGCACGGTTTTACTGTGCTGTTCTCCCAGTGGAATTTTGATACTTGACCTAGACATGTTCGCTTTGGTTTATTCCGTCTATGCCGCTTTTGGACATTTGTGTCATATTTATGATATTTGAGCTCTAATTGCTCCTGTACCCATAACAGAAATGTAATTCCCCTGATAGCAACGTTCTCTGCAAAACCATGGACACAATGTGCATAAGAATTGCGTCGGCAGTATTGGGGAAGATACCTGTAGTCACTTTCAGCCTAATTGCCTCTACATGCATCATTTTCCGCCGATGAGCGAGTAGGGATGGAGATTAGCTACCGTGATACCCTCACGGTTAATGCGTAAACTGCTCATCCTCTCCCACTCCTCCTTAAGGCCCTCAGTCGATATCCTGTACGCTCTAGTGTGTAGGCCAGTGAGCGAGCAGACATCGGTTTGTTGCCGTCACCCATTCGTGGCAAAGACCGTGCTCGGGATGCCTGAGGATTATAGTTTTTTGTTGCCGAAATTGTAGGCGCGGTAGCCTTAAGGGTGGGAAGTAGGACAGAGCTCCAGGAGTAGGTAGGACGTACCTGGATTGTCAAATTGCAGAGATCCCCTGAGAGGGTGGGAATGATAGTGTGGCTGTCTTTTTGAACTAAGACCGGCTTAATCGCCGTTATTCACAATGGTCTCATCAGTGACGTCAGCTTTCCGCGGCCGATGCGCATCCGTTTTGCTATCAGAGTCCGTATATAATTTCTTTAAAAATGAGACGGAGAATTTTATTTGCGTTGTTAGTAGAATTTTCTATGATT